TGGGGCTGCTGGACTATGGGGGTTTGAGTTTGGGGGTGCTGGGGGGCAGTTTAGGGGTGGGGGATCAGTCTGGGCTGTAGGGTCAGTCCAGAGGGTGGATAGTCATTTGGTGCTGGGGGTCAGTCTGCTGTGTGCGGTCAGTCAGGGCTGACCCAGGGGTGACCTGTTGGTGTTCCTGCAGTGTCCCCGGCGCTGGCAGGGGCAGAGCCATCGGTGCCACTGTCCCCAGGCCGGCCGGGCCCCCAGGCCGCCGAGGGGGCCCCATTCAGCTGCACGTGAGTTAGGGACCAGTGTTCCCTTGCATCCCTCCGTGTCACGCATGTGCCACCCAGTGTGCCTCTGTGTCCCCCGGAGTGCCTTGTGCCCCACCCAGTGTCTCCCTGTCCCCATGACCATTGTCTCCATGTCCCCCTGTGACCGTGTCCCTGTGTCGCCCCCCTGTTGCTGTGACCCTGTCCCCATAGTGTCCACTCTCCCATGTGGCCATGTCCTGGTGTCCCTCTGTTCCTTCCCAGTACTCCAGTGACCGTGTCCCCATGGTGTCCCCATCCCGGTGACCATGTCTGTGTGTCCCTCGCGTGTCTCAGTGACTGTGTCCCCGTGTCCCCAGGGCCGGGCGCAAGGACAAGGCCGTTGATCCGGTGGAGTGGTCAGTGCGGGATGTGGTTGAGTATTTCACCGAGGCCGGCTTCCCTGAGCAGGCCGGGGCCTTCCAGGAGCAGGTGGGGCCACCCCTGTCACCCTGTGTCCCCTCTGTCCCCCAGGTGTCTCCACAGTGTCCCTGGGGCTCCCTCTGTCACTGTGGGTGTCCCCAAGAATGCCTCCCTCCCTGCAAAATTCCTCTACAGCCATCCCTGGCCTCCCGCTACCCTCCAGGTGTCTCCTCTGTTCCTGGGAGTGTCCCCAAGGTGTCCCCTATATTTTCCCCATTGGTCCCCCACCCCTCACCATTGCACCCACCCCCATCCCCCTGTGTCCCCTGGGTGTCCCCATGGCTGTCCTTCACTGTCCCCGTGTCCCCATGGCTGTCCCTCACTGTACCCATGTCCCCAGTGTCCCCATGGCTGTCCCCTGTCCCTATGACTGCCCGGCACTCTCCCCGTGTCCCCAAGAAATCAACGGGAAGTCACTGCTGCTGATGCAGAGGGTGGATGTATTCACAGGGCTCTTCATTCCTGTGTCCTTGGGGTGTTCCCTGATCCCTGAGTGTTCCTGTGTCCCCCAGGTGTCCCCTGTCCCCATGACTGTCCCTCACTGTCCCCGTGTCCCCAGGAGATCGATGGGAAGTCGCTGCTGCTGATGCAGAGGGCCGATGTGCTCACAGGGCTCTCCATCCGCCTGGGCCCCGCGCTCAAGATCTACGAGTACCACGTGAAGCTGCTGCAGCGCAGCCACTTCCAGGATGAGGAGCCCCCCACGGAGCCCTTCCCAGCCTGAGACCCCCCCACAGACCCGCGGGGGTGCCCCCAGACCCGTGGGGGCACCCCAGTATCCGGGAGGGCTCCTCCCTCCCCCTGCTGCTGCACACATAGACTTTGGGGGGTGGGTGGGGGTCAGGGGCATCCCACCCCTTTTTGGGGAGTCCCGCCTCACTTTGGAGGGGTTCCCATCCCTATTTAAGGGGGGTCTTGCCTCTCTTTAATGTTCCACCTCTAATTTGGGGGGGGGTCCTACTCATAGTTGAGGGGTTGCACCTCACTTTGAGGGGGTCTCATCTCTATTTTGGTGGGGTCCCATCTCTCTTTAGGGGGCTCCCACCCCTCTTTGGGGGTCCCACGTCTCTCTGGGGGATCCTGCCCCTATTTTGGGGGTCCCACACCTCTT